TGCCCTTGGTCCATATCTCTCCATTCCTTGCATATTCATGTGCTTATCTAAAGTCCCTTAAACACCCCTATCGTATCTGCCTCCACTCACCACCCCCAGCAGCATGTTTCAGGCTCCTACCACTCTCTGTGTAAAAATACATACCCCACACATCTCCTTTGAACTTTCCTCCTCTCACCCTAAATGCATGCTCCCTAGTATTAGATATTCCAACTGTGGGAAAAAGATTCTGACTGTCAACCCTATCAATGAATCTCATAATTTTATAGGCTTCTATCAAGTCTCCCCTCAGCCTCTGCCACTCCAGAGAAAACAGGTGGACTGCAGAGGTTCAAGAAGGCAGCTCACCGCCCCCACCTTCTCAAGGGCAACTAGGGACAGAAAATAAATGCTGGCCAGCCAATGATACTCACACCCCACAAAAAATGAATAGGGTAAAAAAAAACCCAAACTTTTCTAGCCTGTACTTATAGTTTACATCTCTAATCCAGGCAGCATCGTGGTAAACCTCTTCTGTACCCTCTCCAAAGCCTCCACATCCTTCCTGTGATGTGGCGACCAGAATTGAATGCAATACTCTAAATGTGGCCTAACCATGTCTTATAAAAATGCAACATGATATCCTGTCTCTTGTACTCAATTCCTCGACCAATAAAGAAGAGTCATATCAGACGTGAAGACGCTGTCAGATCTGCTGAATTTCTTCAGTGTTCTGTGTTTGTTAATACACTGCATGCCTTTGCTTGTCTTCACAGTGCAATATACACATTCTTATAGCTCCATACATTATAAACAATGACTTTGTCAGCAATCTCATAAACAGGGCCCTAGCTTTTCCCACACCTTCAAAGCTATTCTGCAGGGCAATGGCTACTCTGGTCAGATCGTTGTTTGCAACTTAGCTTCAACCTTGTATCAGCCAAATATCTCCACTTTCGGAAAAGGCACCTGATCCATCTTAGACCTGGAGAGTGAAAGTATCTCATAAATTTGAAAAACAGGTCAGGCATGCTGTTTCGAGCCCAGCGAAGAGGCTGGAAACTCCATGTCTCTCCACCTGAGTAAGAAGCCTTGTCTATTGCTGTGCTGCTCTGCCATTATTATCACCACTGTGAATGTACTCTTGATGTGCCCAAACGTCAGCCTTGGTTGTGTGTCTTCTGTCTCCAGCATGTTCAAAACACCGCCTCTGCTGCCTCTGGAGGGAGGGGACACAGATGCCCACTGCCTCCTGCACTCCCCTTCAGCTCAGATACGAACACTGGTGGGTGCATTAGTTATGGTGCAGTCAGGAGGATCTGCTGGTGAGCACATCGCTGCCACGTCTTTGTGGTGAAGTTGCAAACCCCAGCAGTTTACTCAAAGGGCTGCTGGAGACCAGGCCCAGCAGTCTCAGATCACACAGCCCGGAACTCCATCATCCAGGCCACTGATGTCCAGCACCAATGATAGGGCAACAGGGTGGCGGGGGGAACAACAGACATTGAGCTCACTCTAGGTGCCCCTTCCTCAAAAAGAGGTACAGCGGTGTCAACAGAGGAAGAACCATATACAGATGCTCCCCAGAGGTCACTCGGTCAGCGCAATCCAATAGTGGCCAGGCCTCCGACCTCCACCCTTCCTGTCACTCTCAGTCAAAGAGTCATAGGGTCATACAACACGGAAACAGACTCTTTGGCCCAACCAGTCCAGACCGACCATAATCCCAAATTAAACTGGTCCCACCTGACGACATTTGGCCCATATCCCTCCAAACCTTTCCAATTATGTACTTATCCAAATATTTTTTAAACGTTGTAACTGTACCCACATCCACCACTTCCTCTGGAAATTCATTCCACACACGAGCCACTCTCTTGCAAAAAAATTGCCCCTCATGTCCTTTTTAAATCATTCTCCTCTCACCCTAAAAAAAATGCCCCCTAGTTTTGAACTCCCCACCTTAGGAAAAAGACCTTTGCCAATCACCTTATCTATGCCCCTCATCATTTTATAAACCTCTATAAGGTCACCCCTCAACGTCCTCTACTCCAGTGAAAAACATTCCAGCCTATTTTTATAACTCAAACCTTCCATTCCTGGCAACATTTTGCTAAATCGTTTCTGAACCCTCTCCTTATTGAGATCGAAATTGAAATCTACTTTTCAAGCTCAGTCCTGGCTTTTTATTGCAGTTTTTAAAATCTGTTTATTAAAAACAGATTTCCTGTGAGCGTTCAAGCTGAGGAGGATACACCTGACTTTGGGCAGGACACACTCTGCAATGACTGTGTGCTTTAGACACAAATGCCCCTGGGGTTGCCTGACCAAACTCTCAAGGTCAACAGACTCTATTGTAGGGCAGGCTTCCTCTACCCAAGTTGCAGATCCTGGAGCTGCAGGAGGGAAAGAGAAAAGATCTTCTGAGGGTGCCATGGGTGACACTTCAGTGTCAATATGTTATCCCAGTTTATTAATTTACGGACACTTTTCATCGTCAGCTGTGAACTACCTAGTTCTGTTCCTTCTTTCTTGGTACCTTGCCCAAGACATCTATCTCTGCCTTTCCCAATCCATTAAAGATACTGCTCCCTTGCAGGAAGGGGCCCAGAAGAACACTTTATCCTCTTCCCAACCCTCATCAATTCTGTCACAGGACCCAAAATATTTAGATGGGATTTAAGAAAGTTGTCAGCAGCTTTCAATCACCACCAACAAATGCAGGTCATCTGCCTAATCACCTCACTGCCTTGTGGGATGTGTACAAAACGGCTGCCATGCCGACAGGAATAACTTACTCCACATCAATAGAACATACAAGGGATAGAGAGGCTACTACCACAGGTAGGAATAGAGAGATGGCAAGAAAATAAATAATCATTTCATTTCAGGATTAATCAGGGAACTGACAGACATGATATTAAATGATGAAATAAGCATGGAGATGTGGATTTGAAAGGAAATAGAGAAGATATTGAATAAATTCATCAAATTCAGCGACAACAATGCTGCTGTCTGTATAGGTTACATCTATGTATTTTTTACGTATCTCGAGAAGAGATAACAGAGACTTGACTACACATACTTAATAATTTGTTAGTAAAAGCTTTATTGTCAGAGGACAGGCAATTAGCATATGCAATTCTACATTTATAAAAGAGTTCAGCACATGTCCAGAGATGTAGAGACCAATCAACTTGACATTAGTGGCAGGAAAATAAAACAATCACTACTAAGAGAGCAAATGAATAACTAGAGAACAAGAATCCAGACAGATTTCAAAACAGATAATCTTGTTTGATCAAACCAATTGGATGTTTTCAAGAGGTAAAAGAGAATATACAACAGCAATGCTGTAGACGTAAGGTACCTACAATCTAATAAGGTCATACAATGTGCAGTCACTGGCAGAGTTGAATGCTGTCTGGCTTCACTATGTCAGCTTGTGGTGGGAAGTCAGCAGTGATGGGAGTCGGCAATGAGGGGAGTCAGCAGTGAGAGGCGTCAGCAGTGAAGAGAGTTAGCATGAGAATCAGGAGTGAGGGCAGTCAGTCTATTGAGTATAGGAGTTGGGAGGTCACGTTGCTGCTGTACAGACATTGATTAGGCCACTTTTGGAATACTGCATTCAATTCTGGGCCCCTGCTAGAAGAACTTGAAAGCCTTCAGAAAAGATATACAAGGTCGTTGCCAGGGTTGGAGGTTTGAGCTACAGGGAGAGGCAGAATAGCATGAGGCTATTTTCCCCGGAGTGTCGGAGACTGAGGGTTAACCTTATAGAGGCTTATAAAATCATGAAGGGCATGGATAGGGTGAATAGCCAAGGTATTATTCCTAGGGCAAGGAAGTCCAAAACTAGAGGGCAAAGGTTTAAGATGAGTGGGAAAGATTTAAAAGGGGCCTGACTTTTTCACACAGCGGGTGGTACTTGTATGGAACGAGTTGCCAGAGGAAGCAGTGGAGGTGAGTAGAATTACAACACTTAATAGGTATCTGGATGAGTATATGAATAGGAAGGGTTCAGAGGGATATGGGCCAAATGCTGGCAAGTGGAACTAGATTAATTTAGGATACCTGGTTGGCGCAGACGAACTGGACTGAACGATCTGTTTTCATGCTGTACAGTTCTATGGCTCTATAAGTCAATGGTGAGGAAGTCAATGATGAGGGAAACTAGCAGTGAATGGAGTGAATAGTACAGAGAGCCAGCAGTGAGGGGAGTGAATCATGAGGTAAACCAGCAGTGAAGGGAATCAATGGTAAGGCGAACGAATAGTGCTCAGTAGCAGCAGTGTGTACAATCTACAAGATACACTGCAGAAATTCACCAAAGATCCTCAGACAGCACCTCCCAAACCACGACCACTTCCATCTAGGCCAAGGGCAGCAAATACAGAGAAACATCGCCGTCTTCAAGTTCACCTCCACGCCCCTAGTCAATAGTGAGAGAGGGTGGTGGGATTGGCGGGGGAATGGAGTGTCAGGCGGCAGGCAGGCCTGGCTCTCCCATTGGACGTTGTGGACCCGCCTCGCTCTCCCATTGGGTGTTGTGGACCCGCCTCGCTCTCCCATTGGGTGTTGCGGACGAGTTCCGCTGTCCTATTGGCTACTATAGACAAGATCCGCCATTGGCTGCTACTGATAGACAACCCTCACTCCTGTTGGCTGAGGAAGAAACACTAGACCCGAAACGGTAACTCTGATTCTGTCCACAGATACTGCTGACCTGTTGACCTTTTCCAGCAATTTCTGTTTTTGTTTCCACTCTCCTATTGACAGCTACAGTCAGGCTTCGCTCACCCATTGGTTGCTGCAGGCAGGCTCCACTCTCCCATTGGCTGCTGTGGTCAGGCCCTTCTCTCCCATTGGTCTCCACCAAGGACATCTCTTTCCTTCTGATTGGTCAGTTTCGGGCTACAGTTGATGCTTTCAATTGGCTGATTGCGACGCCTCTCCACTGATTGGTAAGTGTTGCAATGTGGCCCGCCCCAATCGGAACGTGATTGGTCCGGAGACGATGGCAATCCTTCCGAGGAACACACGCGTCTCGGGCGGCTGTTCTCGGCGCGACCTTCGAACGGGAGTCACCGACGCCCAGGCCTGGGCACAGCATCGAGCCCCAGGCCCAGGCCCAGGTACAGATACCGATCCCGGGTACAGATACCGAGCCCCGGGCCCGGGTACAGCTCTGACCGGGGTCCGTCACTGACCCCGGGCCCAGCGTCATCTGTGAGGTGAGCCAGGGCCTTAGCAGTTGGGTTTGTCCCGGATCCCCAGGGCGGGTGGATCTCCCGATCATGTGCGGATCTTTATTATTTTAGTTAGATCGCCTGGTCGAGAGGCGAGTCGTATTGGGTGGATGATCTAATTGGGGCGATCCATTTGGTGGATCATCTCAGGGTGGATCTCAGCCAATGAATCACTTTGTTGAGGGGCTGGATCTCCCACTTAATGTGAGGATAAATTAACTAGGTGTGAATTGAGCATCAGTTTCAGGAGGGGGAACGACAGAGTTATTGCAGCCGGACGGAAGTCAACAGTTGCTCGACAATTTCTTCACAATCTGCATTTTCTGCAGGATATGGCTGAGGAGAACTCGGAAGCTTCCTCCAGATTCCTTTTCCCCTTCAAACCCTACTCAATCCAGGAGGAATTCATGAGTGCGCTGTATGATGTGCTTGAAGAAGGAAAGATTGGAATATTTGAGAGTCCTACTGGAACGGTATGTATTAATATACTATCTGACACAGATATAGTTATCCCCACTCATATTGTATTGCTTTCCATTCTATAGCCTAACGAGAAGGGAGGTGCTGGAGGATCTGACCGCTTGGAAGATGAATAAGTCACTAGGACTAGATGTGTTGTTTGCTAGGCTGTTAATGGAAGCCAGGGAGGATATAGTTCCTCTGAGGATTACTTTTCGATCCTCACTCGATGCAGCTGTGGTACAAGAATGGTGTCTGCAAGCATTATTCTAAATGAATGCACAGTATCGAGCATAGTTTGGTTGATTAGTCTGGTGGTGGGAAAATCACTGGATCAATATTGAGAGAGGAGATCAATTGTTAGTTGGAGAGGCACAGATTATTCAAGGATAGTCAGCATTGTTTTGTTAAAGGAAGATCGCCTCTTACTAACTTAACTGAATTGTTTTTGAGCAAGTAACAAGGAGAATCGATGAGGGTAATGCAGTGGATGTTGTCCATATGAATAATCTTAGTGAGGGAATTGACAATGTCCCACATGGCAAAGTGGTCAAAATAATTAAAGCCCATTGGATACAGGGGAATTTGGTGAATTGGCTCAGTTTCAGGAAACAAAGGCAAATGGTTGCCGGATGTTTTAGCAAATGGTAATTGGTTTACAGTGATACTCCTCAGAGCTCAGTTTGGATCCCTTGCTGTTTGTTGTAAATATTAATGATTTAGATGTGGATCTTGTTATTGGGAAATTTGCAGAATACCCAAAATTGGCTAGGTATTTGATCGAAAAGAGAATGGCTGATGACAGCAAGGTGGTTTGGTGAACATGGGGTGCATGTCCACAGGTTTCTCACTGTGGCAGTACTGACAAAAGATGATGCAACAGACCAGTTGGTTGATTGGATTTGTTCTGTTTGGGTGTGTTACCTTAAGCACTGTGATTTTCAGCTCTCTTCACCCACCATCTGTTGCATGATTTCCTCTGAAATACAGTGCAAAACCCAGGGCTCGCTTAAAGGGGAAGTAACTTGGAAAATTCCTTTCCTAAACACCGGATAAGAGTAGGCTATTCGGTCCCTGCAATCCGTTCTACAGTTCATTTAGATCATACTGACCTGAGTCCAGTTGTACATATTGACTGTAATTTGTATTACTTATATTCCCTATCCTCTGTGTGTTGTGCTGTTTGCTTATGAACTAGCAGAAGCTAACGGCTTTGCTTCTCATATGTCAGAGGCTCTGAGGCACTGTAAATCAGGAGCATTGTAATAACAGTGCACTTATTAGCAATCCACAGGAGTGTTATCAGCCTTTGTGCAACAGTCAGCTTCATAAGGAGATATTAAGGCAAGTAGTTCAATGTTTTTTAAGGAGCACCTGAAAAGGAAGAAATAAAATACAGAAATTCACCATAATAGCAGTCACTGGCATTGAGTTATCTCACAATTATGGGCAGAATAATGAAATTCAATCACTGTCACTTTAAGTCAGAGCCTCTGAAAAAGCATTGTGCTGTACATGGCACATTAGCCCATGATTTCGGTACAGGTTATCCTCATACTAAGTATTGGTTTCATCACTGGAGGGCTGCTAGAGTGACTCTGCCTGCATTGATCTCCTGTGGTATTGCTCACAGTTCAAAGACATGTTTTTTTTAATGGTAAAAGTTCTCTGTGAGAGGGTAAGTGTCACAGGAGGTAGATGTGCTCCATAAAAGCAGACACTTTTTAATGGATATGTTCTCACAATGGCCTCTGACATGTTAATTGTGGCTGCCATCGCTCCCTCAGGGAAAGTCACTGAGTCTGATCTGCGGAGCACTCACTTGGCTCAGAGACTTTGAAGAGAAGAAAAAACTAGAAGCAGCCCAGCTTTTGGAAGATCATGTGCCACAGCAAGGTCTATCTCATCATACCCAGAATTCTTCTGATGTTGATGGTAAGGAGCCAGAAGCTAAGGACTTGGGGGCTGAATTAGACTGGATCACTGATTTTGTACAGAAGAAGGCTGAGCGTGATCTGGTCGATAAGTTAAAGGTCAGTTTTATGCATAAATTTTTTGGTGTCTTCAACGTTTGATGATATTTATTTGCTAATGCCAGCCATGCCATTTAAATTTTCTAGCTTAACAAAGTTAACTTTTCAAATGGTGGGTTTACTTGATCCAATGAAGTTTGTTTGCTATATGGATATTTGGGAATTCCATTGGATTGAGGAATGTCAAAACATGAGTCCTTTACAGGTGGGAGCTGCTGTTTTGGCTTGAAAACTGTGTTGCAGAATTGGGAAACAGGAAATGGTATAGTCACCATAGTCCCAAAGGACTGTAGGCTGCTCTCTCACTTGAAGAGAGAGATGACTGGCTGGTGAGTTTAACCTGAGGGTCACCACATCACAGATGAGAGGTGAGGATGAGAAGGTGGAGCCTTTGTGGTAACCTCAGCCAGTGCAGGAATTGAATCCTCGCTGTTGGCACCACTCAGCATTACAAACCAGCTGAATAATATCATCTTCAAAACTTCATTAAAGGCTACAAAGAAGAAAGAAAAATACAGCCCAGGAATAGGCCCTTCGGCTTTCCAAGTCTGTGCCGACACATTTTGCCCTTTCATATTAAAACTACCTTCACTTGCAGGATCCGTATCCCTCTATTCCCTTCCTATTCATGCATTCGTCCAGGTGGTTCTTGAATGCTGCTATTGTGTCTGCTTCCACCACCCCCTCTGGCAGCGCGTTCCAGGCAATCACCACTCTTTGCGTGAAAAACATGCCTCATGCATCGCTTTTAAATTTCTCCCTCTTGTACCTTGAACCTGTGTCCCCTAGTAATTGACCTCTCCACCCTGGGAAAAAACCTCCTACTTACCAATCTATTCATGCCATTCATAATCTTTTAAACTTGCATCAGGTTGCCCCTCAACCTTCTGTGTTCCAGTGAAAACAAACCCAGTCCATTCAACCTTTCTTCATAGCTAAAATCCCCTACACCAGGCAATATTCTGGTAAACCTTTTCTGTACCCTCTCCAAAGCATCCACATCCTTCTGGTAGTGTGGTGACCAGAACTGCGCGCAATATTCCCAGTGTGGCCTAACTAAAGTTCTAAAAAGCTGCAGCATAACTGGTCTATCCTTATTCTCAATGCCCCTTCCAATGAAGGCAAGCACGCCATAGGCCTTTCTTTTTTAAACTACCTTCTCTACCTGCAGCGTTCTGTGGGGAGGCAATGGCCTAGTGCTATTATCGCTGGACTGTTAGTCCGGAGACTCACATTATGTTCTGGGGACCCAGGTTCGAATCCCACCATGGCAGATGGTGGAATTGAATTCAATAACATATCTGGAATTAAGAATCTACTGATGACCATAAACCCATTGTCAATTGTCAGAAAGACCCACAAAACCCAATTGGTTCACTAAGGTCCTTTAGGGAAGGAAACTGCCATCCTTACCTGGTCTGGCCTACATGTGACTCCAGACCCACAGCAATGTGGTTGACTCTTTTTAAAAAAAAACTGCCCTCTGGGCAATCAGGGATGGACAATAAATGCTGCCTGGTCAGCAACACCCTCATCCCATGAATGAATAAAGAAACCTGCACACTCAGATCTCTCTACATATCAATGCTTCTAGGGGATCTACCATTCCCTGTATAATTTCCACCTGTACTTGACCTTGCAAAATGCATCACCTTATGTTTGTCTGGATTAAACTCCATCTGCCATTTTTCTCTCCATGCCTCCAACTGATCTATATCCTGCTGTACCCTCAGACAATCCTCCTCACTATCTGCAACTCCACCAATCTTTATATCGTCCGCAAACTTACTAATTATATCAGCTACATTTTCCTCCAAATCATTTGTGTAAATCACGAACAGCAGAGGTCCCAGGACTGATCCCTGTGGAACACCACTAGTCACTGCCCTCCATTCCACCACTACCCTCTGTATTCTATGAATAAACCAGTTCTGTATTCATCTTGCCAGCTCACCCCGATACCATGTGACTTCATCTTTTGTATCATGAGGTACCTGGTCAAAGCCTTTTCTGAAGTCCATGTAGACAACATCACATGCTTTTCCCTCATCAATCATTTTCATCACTTCCTCAAAAAACTCGATCAAGTTACTGAGGCACAACCACCCCATCACGAAACCATGCTGTTTATCGTGAATCAGTCCATTTGCTTCTAAATGCTTATAGATCTTGCCCCTGAGAATCTTTTCTAATAATTTCCCTACAAAGGCTGTGGAGGAAATAAATCAAAATGGCAAGAAGCTGATGATGATAAAAGGGAATCATCTCCAAGTTATTGGGTAATTGATCAGCGAAGGTCAACGACCTGAGGAAGAAACAATATATGAGAGTGCGAGGGCAAAATGTTGATTCAAATACAGCTATAGCAACGGCTTCGGAAGTGTTGAAGGAAATTCAGGCAATGTCTCATACTAACTCCTTGCTGAATCCACTCATTTTGATGATGAAAACTCAAGAGTCATAGAGATGTACAGCACAGAAACAGACCCTTCGGTCCAATGCATCCAAGCTGACCAGTTATTCGACATTAATCTAGTCCCACTTGCCAGCATTTGGCCCATGTCCCTCTTAAACCCTTCCTATTCATATACTCATCCGGATGCCTTTTAAATGTTGTAATTATACCAGCCTACACCAGCTCCTGTAGCAGCCCATTCCTTGCATGCACCACCCTCTGCATGAAAAAGTTGCCCCACAGATCTTTCTCTTTTGAATCCTGCCCCTCTTACCTTAAACCTATACTGTCTAGTTTTGGACTCCCCTAAACTGGGAAAAACGCCTTGGCCATTCACCCTATCCATGCTCCTCATGATTTTATAAACTTCTTTAAGGTTGCCCCACAGTCTGTGATGCTTAAGGAAAATAGCCCCATCCTATTCAGCCTCTCCCTATTGCTCAAACCCTCCAACCCTGGCAACATCCTTATAAATCTTTTCTGGACCCTTTCAAGTTTCACAACATCTTTTCCTAGCAGGGAGACCAAATTTGATTGCAGTAAAGAATCAAGTTTTCCCACGTTATATTCCCATTTCCCTAAATGTAGTAAACAGGGACTGAGAGTTTGATCTCTCTGTGAACAAGGTCAGGAGATTTTCTCACTTTGTGAATGGTTGCAGAGAATCTGAGCTACTCCCCTTAGACTTAAGGTATTTATGAGAAGTAAATAGCTGTGTAAAGATTGAGTTGATCTTAAAGTATCTCCAAACTTGTGTTTTTCAGGATGAAGAATTAAAAAGAAAGAGGAGAGAAGAGCGATTGGACAAAATACGTAACAATGTGCAGCTTAAATATGCTTTAAAACGCAAGGTATGAATTTTTCATTAAGGTTGAAGTGTGGAGGGAGGTGATTGAGACGGAAGGACTGACTGGGTGTTAAGATTTTATTTTCAGCTGTAATGTTGCTTGTTCAGGGCTATGGTGCAAGATGATCCTATATCCTCTCTACTGCCTTACCTTTGCGCAATCTTATTTATTTTACCTTGAATTTCACATGACCTACATATGCCATTTGTGTAAAAATCATTCTGCTGCATGTAGAGAAGGAAAATGTTGCAGTTTTGTGGTGATTTTTCACAACCTCAACATGTCCCAAAGCATCCCACAGCCATCAGGATACTTTTAGATATAAAACAGATTTTTTTTGTAACGTAGGAAATACAGCAGTCACTTTATACACAGTATGATTTGTCATTTTAAAATGGGAGGTAAAAATCTGATGGCAGACAAATCTGTCTCTTCTTGAATGACCTTGACGAATATTGACCAAGTATACAAGAATGCATGTCAATGATTATAGATGTATGGTGGTGGACTTGGTTTAATGTCTCAACCATAATACTTCCTGTCATCCTGTCTCTGCATTTAATTTGTGGTGCAATGAAGGGGCTCATGGCATCTGTTATGAATTTTTCTGATCTTAAACCTCGATGATTTGTTTTGTAAAAGGGGACTGCTTCAGTGTGATCAAGGAATAATCCGTTTTTCACATTTCTGTGGGATGTGGTAACCATATGTTATCTTTGTCAAGCAGTTGCCAGAATTGTCACTGTTTTACCTATGCTTGGTCCCAGAGAGATGATGACAATGATACTGAGCGACTCATTCAGATGAGTGGAGAAGTGGTGACTTCTGAACAGGCTGACGCTCTGGACGGGGAGGATGAAAGCTTTATTCTGGCAGATTATGAGAGTGACGATGAAAAGAAACCGAAAGATTTGAAGTAGGTGAATGTCCTGGTCTGTCAGAGAAAGAAAGAAAGACTCCGTGCATTTCATGACCTCAGTAAATCTCGAAGTGCATCGTTGTAGTGAAAAGTGGCCATCTGTGTGCAAAGCAGAATCCCACAGGTAGCAATGTGACACTGTTTTCCCAGAAAGGTTGACCAATAAATTTTGGCTGAGAATGCCACTGCCCTGGGTCATCCACCTGAGCAGGCAGCTGAGGCCTGCACTGGAGTGTCAGCTTGGAACAAGTGTTGGAGATGGCACTTGAAGCCAACACTTTCTGCCTAATATCAAAGTGTTGTCCCTGAGCCTCATCCAGTCAGATTGATTTTGACGCTATTGTGATTTTCAGACCTTGTGCCAAATGGAGTTCCCCCATTGCTCTGTGTGAGAATCCTAATGACCTGAATTCCATGATGTCAATGTAACTTTAAAATTCCAGTTGCTATAATAATTAGGTTCGCTGGTTTCCCCAGTGTCGTTGTGAGTGCAAAAATAATAAGCTGATGGTTACAAAGCCTTAAGTTTGAGAATATGCCAGACAATTGACCACGTTGCTTTAGGCTTGAGAAGGCAAATGAGTTTCTGACCTCCACCCAGTTATCCCTAGGCCATTCTGTCTTGGAAATATTGAGCAAAAACATGTTTATCTTCATGTGAAAATGGCTTCTGATCTCTCTGGCCTGTACCTGTGCAGTGAGGGGAGAAGAAGCAAGCTGAGATACTTGTTTAATTGTAGAATTATTTAGGCTATGGACTCCTCTGTTCACTGAGGGAATCAACTTACGAAAGTGTAGTGATAATTCACATATGGTGTGTTGCAAAGTGTGAACCAAGGTCTCTATGCTTTACAAGTGGTTCTTACTTTTTTTAATATGTTTTTTTTCCAGCCTATCTGATGAGGAAGATTTGGAGGAAGAGCATGTGACAAAGGTTTGGAGGGTAGAAGTTCTCTAACTCTGCCATTTTAATGAATTGTGCTCAACAGATATCACAAAGGCTTGCCAGTCCTGGAGTCCTATAACAAGTGCCAGTGATTTGATTTGATGTTATTCTGTTGAGCCAATTGAATCCTAATAGCTTCAGCAGCTGCAAATTCACCAAAATCATCTCCTTCAACTGTAGTTGATCTTCTATTAAATATAACTGCACCTCTTCCTTTTGTATAGAAAGCAGTGGACACTTGGAATTAGGCCAGGCTATAATTCATTGATGTGTTAGAGTAAATTAAGTGAATGGGTGATGATGGCTTTGAGATAATATCAATGACTAGTAAACTGGAGGCCCAGGCTAATGCTGCGGGGACATCCATTCAAATGCCACCACAGTACCTTGTGGAAATTAGGTTTAAGTAATAAATCTGGAATTGAAAGTTCGTCTTTGTAACCAAGATTGAAACCAAGATTGATTCTTGTAAATAAAAACCTATCTGGTCATTAATGCCTTTTACGGAATAAATTAGTTAAGGAAATCTGCTACCTTTATCTGGTCTGGTCTGGTCTACATGTGGCTCCAGACCCGTAGCAATTTGCTTGACTCTTAACTGCCCTCTGAAATGGCCTGGGAAACCACTCAGTTTGCAGACAATTAGAGATGGGCAACAAATACTGGACTTTCCAGTAATGCTCACATCCCATGAAAGAATAAACAAAAAGAAAATGTATTTGATAAGAGGGCTGGAGCTTTAGGGTGAGTCTAATTCCATTGGTTTACGAAATGCTTCAGCAATCGGAAGCACATTGACTACTATTGCTTGTTAACCCAGCCTACCTTAGAAACACTGAGCCCAGTTGTAATATCCCCTGCTATTTCTTGCAGGCAACAGGAAGTGGGTACTGAATACGATGTCTTTCAGTTTTACAGGGCTTTGCACCGCACCACCTGGGAATGGTCTCCATTCAGGTTTTTGAATCTCACTTTTTAGAGGAAGTTGATGGAGCAGGTTTACCTCAATCTCCACAGGGTATGAGGTTATCCAGCCATGACCATCTTGGGGTCAAAGGCCAGGTTACTTGGGTCGATTGTGCTGCCATGAACTAAGGGAACGACAGTGAATGCCAAGAGCATTTGGATGTGAGCACCCTCTTTACATGAGCTGATCTAATACAGTTTTTCTGCTCCCAGATCTATTACTGCAGTCGTACACACTCGCAGCTTGCTCAGTTCATACACGAGGTCCAGAAAAGTCCGTTTGGCAAGGATATCAGGCTGGTGTCACTTGGATCCCGGCAGGTAGGTCATGGAGGGGGCCGATCTGCACCTTTTGAGGATCCCCATGGCTCTTATCATCTGTTGGTGTGCCTTTGAATCACATTGGTGTCACTTAACCAGACTGGAAATTGGAACAGGCAACTCTAATGGCTCATTTTTTAATTGGAAGATCAAGTTGAAAGGCTGAAGAATGCGTACAGGACACTGGGACTAAGAAAAAAGGAAAGGAAATGGGATGAATCGAAATACAGTGACTGTCTAGTGTTGATTTCAAAGATCTGAAGATTTGTAGAAGGAGGGGAAAACTTAGGATTCTAGGAGCTGATTGGTATCCAGGTCCTGGGAACGAGTGAGTTTGTCATATTGCTGAGAATTTTAACTGGGGCATTTAAAGATCTTGATTCTTGGAAGCAACAGGAGTCTAAGTTGAAAGGAAAACAAAGAACTTGTATTGACCAACGTAGTCTGTACCAACTTTGTTGGATCACACACTTCCTTTCCTGGTTAGGGAAATATGGTGAGTCTACAGACAAGAGCAGGAAAGGCCTAAGTCTTTTTGCTACCTCTTGTTAGGCCAAGAATCGCAGATGCTAGCAGTGTCTTCCACCATTGACAGCATTAAACCAGAACCTGTTAACCCGATGTAAACACATACCTCCCAATAGATATGGGCAGGAATGAAGGTACCCTAATGCTTACTGGTCTTTTATCCCTCCTCCCTAACGTAAAGCTCTGAATTACAGGTGGTTTCTTTACCCGTTTAATCTTTAATGGAGCTTTTTCTTTAAGTTTCCGTGCTGGACATTTCTAGCGTGTATGCTCCGTTTAATAATTGTTAATGTGTGACAGTAACCAAATGGCAGAGCATGTTCCTTTTATTTTTTTGTCTCCTCTTTCTCTTCTCCCTCCCCCACGAAGAACATGTGTGTAAATGATGAGGTGAGGCGCCTTCGATCGCTCCAGCTGATCAACGATAGGTGCTTGGAAATGCAGAAGAACAAACGTGGTGAGTGGAGCCTATATTTCTGTCCCTATGAAAATCTGTCTTGTCATTCAGTCGGAACTTGAGGGAATTTCTGATTCTGTCAGAAATGGAACTGCTTCCAATTATTATTGTTACAGAGATAGTAGGAACTGCCGATGCTGGAGAATCTGAGAGAACAGGGTGTAGAGCTGGATGAACACAGCAGGCCAAGCAGCATCAGAGGAGCAGGAAAGCTGACGTTTCAGGTCTAGACCCTTCTTCAGAAATGGGGGAGGGGAAGGGGATTCTGAAATAAATAGGGAGAAAGGGGGAGGCGGATAGAAGATGGATAAAGGAGAAGATAGGTGGAGGGGAGACAGACAGGTCAAGGAGGCGGGGATGGAGCCAGTAAAGGTGAGTGTAGGTGGGGAGATAGAGTGGGAATAGGTCGGTCCAGGGAGGACGGACAGGTCAAGGAGCCGGGATGAGGCTAGTGGGGAGGAGATTGGCGTGGGGCTTGAGGTGGGAGGAGAGGATAGGTGGGAGGACAGGGTAGGGAGGCGGGTACGAGCTGGGCTGGTTTTGGGATGCAGTCGGGGGGAGGGGAGATTTTGAAGCTTGTGAAATCCACATTGATACCATTGGGCTGCAGGGTCCCAAGCAAAATATGAGATGCTGTTCCTACAACCTTCGGGTGGCATCGGTGTGGCACTGCAGGAGGCCCAGGATGGACATGTCATTCAAGGAGTGGGAGGGGGAGTTGAAATGGTTCGCGATTGGGAGGTGCAGTTGTTTGTTGCGAACCGATCGTAGGTGTTCCACAAAGCGGTCCCAAAGCCTCATCTTTACCATGGACGTCCAGTCCCTATACACTTGCATTCCCCATGCAGATGGCCTAAAGGCCCTCCACTTCTTCCCGTCCTGCAGGCCCGACCAGTCCCCCTCCACTGACACCCTCATCCACTTAGCTGAACTTGTCCTCACCCTTAACAAGTTCTCCTTCAATTCCTCCCACTTCCTACAGACAAAGGGGGTGGCCATGGGTACCTGCATGGGCCCAAGCTGTGCCTGCCTCTTTGTCGGATACGTGGAACAATCCCTCTTCCGAAGCTACGCTGGCCCTATCCCCCACGTCTTCCTCCGTTACAGCGATGACTGTATCTACGCCGCCTCGTGCTCCCACGAGGAGCTCGAACAGTTCATCCACTTCACTAACACCTTCCACCCCAACCTTAAGTTCACCTGGACCATCTCCAATATCTCTCCCTCCTTCCTGGACCTCTCTATTTCCATCTCTGGCAACCACCTGGAAACCGATATCCATTTCAAGCCGACCGACTCCCACAACTACCTAGAGTACACCTCCTCTCACCCACCTTCCTGCAAAGAGGCCATCCCCTATTCCCAATTCCTTCGCCTCCGCCGCATCTGCTTCCCAGATGAGGCATTCCACTCACGGACATCCCAGATGTCCTCGTTTTTGAAGGACCGCAACTTCCCCTCCACAGTGGTTGAAAATGCCCTCGACAGTGTCTCTCACATTTCCCGCAACTCATCCCTCACACCCCCTACCTGCAATAACAACCCAAACAGAATCCCCCTCGTCCTCATGTACCACCCCACCAACCTCCGGATCCAACGCATCATCCTCCGACACTTCCGCCATCTGCAATCCGACCCCACTACCAAAGACATTTTTCCCTCCCCACCCTTCCCTGCTTTCCGGAGGGACCACTCTCTCCGTGACTCCCTTGTCTGCTCCACACTCCCCACCAGCCCCACCACCCCTGGCACTTTTCCATGCAACCGCAGGAAGTGCTACACCTGCCCCACACCTCCCCCCTCACCCCCATCCCAGGCCCTACGAAAACCTTCCACATCAAACAGATGTTCACCTGCACATCTGCTAATGAGGTATACTGTATCTGCTGTTCCCGTTGTGGCCTCCTCTACGTTGGGGAAACCAAACGGAGGCTTTGGGACCATTTTGTGGAACACCTACGCTCGGTTCGCAACAAACAACTGCACCTCCCAGTCGCAAACCATTTCAGCTCCCCCTTCCACTCCTTGAACGACATGTCCATCCTGGGCCTCCTGCAGTGCCACAATGATGCCACCCGAAGGTTGCAGGAACAGCATCTCATATTTCGCTTGGGACCCTGCAGCCCAATGGTATCAATGTGGACTTCACAAGCTTCAAAATCTCCCCTCCCCTGACTGCATCCCAAAACCAGCCCAGCTCGTACCCGCCTCCCTAACCTGTCCTCCCACCTATCCACTCCTCCCACCTCAAGCCCCACCCTCACCTCATCCCGCCTCCTTGACCTGTCTGTCCTCCCTGGACCGACCTATCCCCTCCCTAACTCACCTTTTACTGGCTCCAACCCCGCCTCCTTGACCTATCTGTCTCCTCTCCACCTATCTGCTGATTTATCCATCTTCCATCTGCCTCCCCCGTCTCCCTATTTATTGCAGAATCCCCTTCCCCTCCCCCATTTCTGAAGAAGGGTCCAGACCTGAAACATCAGCTTTCCTGCTCCTCTGATGCTGCTTGGCCTGCTGTGTTCATCCAGCTCTACACCTTGTTATCTCCAATTATTATTTGTGGTTTTATCTCTGTCCAAATAGTCCGTTTTATAGAGTTAGTGCTAAACTGTAACTCCCCTGCTCCTCCTCAGAAGTTTTTTCTATCCTCTCATCAAATATATTCTTTTGGACATTAAAGTTTTCCTCCCTTGATTGTCCTAAGCTGCAGACACATTGTCACACATTCTCTTTGTCCTCCCAACCTTAGCAGGTTGAAGCCAAGATTTGTAGAAATCCTGGAAAATTGGCTGTGAGCTATTGGGCCCATTGTAAAATTCAAATGCTTCATAGTTTACTTTTGCAGGTATGCCACAATTATTTATGTCTGCAACATTATTCCGTCTTTTTTACTTTTAAGGGTTGAACTTTACTCTGCAGTGGTGGTCGAACAGGGCTGTGATGTGTTTTCTTGGCTGATGGCTAGACTTCTGTGGATTGGCTTGCCTTTGTATTCTTGGTTCAGTCTTTTGGATGATGCTATTCTCACCAACAGGTGCCAGACTTCTCCAGGTTGAGGCTAGTTACTTCATCTGCGATATTTCTAGGGATTTAACAAATTCCTGTGCATGAGACCATTTCCCTAGCACAGTATTTTTTTCAGATTGAGAGTCTAATGATGGAAAAATCTTTATTTGGTCGTGTTTTATGTTTGAGCATTATAAGATAAAATAGAACACAAAGGAACATAAGGAAACTTTAGGTCAGATGACTGGAAGTTCAAAAAGATAGCTTTTAAAATGCTTGTTAAAGGAAGAAAGTGTGGTCAAGAAGCCGAAGGTGTAGGGAGTGAATTTCAGAGCTGACAGAAACTGAAGGCACAGTCAAGTAGTGGTGAAGTGAATGAAATCCGGCATGTTGAAGAAAGATCGGGAATTAGCTGAGTGCAGATATACTGGAGGGATGCAGGGCTGGAGAAGAGTACACAGAAAGGGGGCATGGCCATGGTGGGGATTTAAAAAGGAGGGAAATTTTAAGTATAGACAAAAGAAAGGCATAGATGAGTTTCTCAGCAACAGAAGTGTGGAGATGGGCACCTTCATGATGAGATGAACATATGGTCACTATCCAGCTATTGGATGTTCTAGTTACTGAGCAACTTTACATCAACTTGTAAGTTGCTAACAAGCTAGAAAGTAAGGCTGGGGAGCCTGGCCTCTGTGGTGGGGAAGCTCTTAGAGAAGATACTGAGGGACAAGATATATGCACATTTGGAAGAAAATAGACTAGTTAGTGTCAGGCAGCATGGTTTTGTACTGGGACGGTCGTCTGTCACCAACCTGATTGAATTTTTTGAAGAAGCGACAAAGATCATTGATGAGGGATGGGCTGTGGATGTAGTTTATATGGACTTTAGTAAGGCATTTGATAAAGTCCCACATGGCAGATTGGTACAAAAACTAAAATCACATGGGATTTGGGGTGGGCTGGCTAGATGGATACAAAACCTGCTTGGTCACAGAAGACAGAAGGTAGTGGTGGAAGGATGTTTTTCAGAATGGAGACCAGTAACTAGTGGTGTTCCACAGGGATCAGTCTTGGGACCTCTGTTTGTAGTATATGTAAATGATCTGGAGGAAAATGTTGGTCGTCTGATGAGTGAGTTTGCAGATGACATGAAGACTGGTGGAGTTGCTGATAGTGCTGACGATAGTGAAAGGATACAGCAGGATATAGATCAATTGGCAATTTAGGCACAGAAATGGCAGGTGGAGTTTAATCCAGACAAATACATTTTGGAGGATCAAATTTAGGTGTGAATTATACTGTAAATGGCAGAACCCTTAGGAACATTAACATACAGACAGATCTGGGTGTGCAGGTCCACAGTTCCCTAAAAGTGGCAACACAGGTAGCTGAGGTGATTAAGAAGGCATATGGCATGCTTACCTTCATCGGCCAGGGCATGGAGTACAAGATTTGGCAAACCATGTTGCAGCTGTATAAAACCCTTGTTAGGCCGCATTTGGAGTATTGTGTGCAGTTTTGGTCGCCACATTACCAGAAGGACATGGAAGCTTTGAAGAGAGTGCAGAGAAGGTTCACCAGGATGTTACCTGGTCTCATGGGCATTGGCTATGAGGAAAGGTTAAAAAGACTAGGATTGTTTTCACTGGAAAAACGGCGACTGAGAGGAGCCCTGATAGAAGTCTACAAAATTATGAGAGGCATAGATAGGGGGGAATAGGCAGATACTTTTTCCCAGGGTTGAAGTTTCAATTACAAGGGGGCACAGGTTCAAAGTGAGAGGAGGAAAGTTTAAGGGAGATGTGCGAGGGAAGGTTTTCACACACAGTGGTAGGAGCTTGGAATGGACTGCCAGAAGAGGTGGTGGAAGCAGGCACTTTGGCAACATTTAAGAGGCATCTGGATGGTTACATGAATAGGAGGGAATAGAGGGATGCAGACCGAAAAAGGGCAGAAGGTTTGTTTTTTAGATTAGTTAGGGCATTAGTTATGGCACAGGCTTGGAGGGCCGAAGGGCCTGTTCCTGTGCTGTACTTCTCTTTTGTTTTTTGTTCTAAGACCTGGCCTGCCTGCATATCAGGCTCCGTGCCACTTTTTGCTTTGTTACAGTCTCATAGATTCCTATCCTCCCATTAAACAGGAAGTAACAGGAAATGAGTTGCAAGTACAGCATACCCCTACTGAGTTAGGGGGAAATGGTAAAATCGTTTTCTACGTTGAGGTCTATTTCAGAGATAATCAAAACGACCCTGCCACATGTCTGACAGTATCACCGCTTTAGACATAGGATTTTTCCACTCTTCCTAGTTCTGAGGTAAGGAAGTTTAAAAGAACTGCAGTCTCTGACATAGCTATTCAGGCTTCAACGGGAGAACAGTTCCTTTAGACATTGTAGTTCCCCTGGTATTGAGATTGAGGCTCAAACCTGGCCACCCATTGATAATCCTCACCTTCATGTGTATCATATGCAGCATTCACTGGCAGGACTTGGTACATCGTCCCTGACATTTCCCTCAGCCCCTCTAGTTCAATGATCAATGTCGTACCATGACCTGCTGCTGAGATCTGCTGACTCAATGTGGCACAGGACTTAAACTTTGACCTCCTGTTCCATGTTAACCAAAAAAAGTTCGTTTCAGGCAGTGCCCCCACTCTTAAATCTATTGGTGAGCAGTTACAGCATTTTTATGCAGCATTACAGTGATTTAACTGAACATATTAAGTAGCTGAGGTTGGATAGACAAAAGGAATCTGATCCAGTTGTTGGGGAGTCTATGACTGGGAAGTATGGTTAGAAATTTAGAGCCAGAACCCTTAGGAGCGAAATTAGGAATCATTTTCACACACACACAGTGGTAGAGGTTTGGAACACTTCTGCAAATAGAAATTGATGCTCTGTCATTTATTAATTTTGAGTCTGAAATTGGAGTGATTTAATTAACTAAAGGTATTTTGGACATGGCTGAAAGCTGGGTGTGTGGGGTTACGTTGCAGATTTCATTGAATGGTGGAGTGTGTTCAAAGTGTAAATTGCTGACTCCTATTTCGATGTTCACACTAAAGTGAATGCAGAGCTTTAGCAATCCAGTTGAGGGAATTGGTTAATTCCATTAACAAACATTTTGAAACAGGTTAGAATTGGAGAAAAGAAGTTCCTTCATTTATCGGGCACTTTTGACATGTAATTGCCAAAGTGCTTCATCACTAGTAAAATACTTATGCAGCATAGTCACTGTAGAATAGGAAATGGTATGGCCAGTTCAGGCACAACAAGAATAAATGAGGTAAATTACCAGTGAACCAACTGCAAATATTCAGGAGTCTTTTATCTAGATCCAATCTTCTATGTTTGTTTCTATATAAACAATATTGATAACGCTCTTGTCAGTAAACTACCAGGTTTGAAGTAAAACACACTTTATTCATAGAGTTATAGTTAAAATACAAACAAAAGAAAGAAGAATTGGAATTACAACTCTTTTGGAAAACTTAACAAAATAATAGATTATTTAACTACTAACTGTTTTGTTATAATAACATCCCATAAACATATCCTTGGCAAAGGCAGAATCAGTAAAAGAAATTGTCTCACATGCAGTCCTCCAGTCCAGGAGGAAAGAACACCAAGAGAAAACTTGGGAGGGAGGGAGGGAGAAAGAGAACTTGAGAGTTTTGCTGTTGCAGGGAGAGATGTATGGCAGCCTCCAAACCCCAACAGCTACTGAAAGCTAAACTAAAATCCTGATGCTGTGGGAGTTCAAGCTGCTTCTCTTGTTCCAACTTTTTAAAAAAAAACCCAAGGCCTCACAAGCTGTTTACTTTATTGGCTCGGAACAGACTGTTCAGTACCTCTGCCTCAAGCTCTCTTCATAAAAAAAAAGGACAAAATACACCTCTTAAAGCCTTTGTATCGTCACATATGTAATGAGGATTTTGATTTACTGATCATTGAGGGGGGTGGTGTGAGGGAGGTTTTTCTTCCACTGATGCAATGGTCTAACACTTCTTTGAGTGGCGAATGCACTGTCAGGCTCAAGGCAAGAGCAGATGTTCATATGATATTTTCTGAAAGCCGACAGAAAACGCAGCGAGGATGAGGTGGAAACTCCGAAACGGAGACGCAAGAGTCGAGTGACGTGCCCGTTCTACAGCCATGAGCAGATGCATTCCTTGCGTGATGAGCTGCTGGTGGAGGTGAAGGACATTGAGCAGCTGGTGTTGTTGGGGAAGGAGTTGAAGGCGTGTCCATACTATGCCAGCCGCTTTGCCATTCCACCAGCACAGGTATGGGAAGGTTCATCTTGTTCATAAGCAAAAATCAAATTTAGCTTTGTTTTTTAAAAAAAAATTATTTGAGTTGAGGGCATTTATGGTCATCCTTTTAAAAATAAATAAATGTGCATGGGTCATTTACTTGAAGCTGTGGTGGAAGCACTGACAATGCATTGGATAGGGAGCTGCATGATCTGAATCCAGCAACAATGAGGAAATAGTGATATAAATCCAACTTAGGACAGTTTGTGACTTGGGGACAAATTTGAAGGTTTTATAGATCATTGAATCCCTACAGTGTGGGAGCAGGCCATTTGGCCCATCAAGTCCATACCAACCTTCCAAAGAGCATCCCAACCAGACATGCCCCATCCCTGTAACCCTACATTTCCCAAGGCCAAACTACCTAGCCTGCGCATATTTGGACTGTGGGAGGAAACTGGAGCACCTGGAGGAAACCCACGCAGACACGGGGAGAATGTGCAAACTCCACACACACGGTCGCCCGAGGGTGGAATTAAACCCGTGTTCTTGGCGCTGTGAAGCAGCAGTGCTAAGCATTGAGCCGCAACTTTTCTTTTTGGTAGAGTTGCAAATTACTGCAGATGCTGGAATCTGTACTGAAAACAAAAAATGCTGGAAATCCCAGCGGATCAGGCAGCATCCATGGAGAGAGAGCAAGCTAACATTTGCGAGTCTAGGTGACTCTTCATCAGAGCTTTATTTGGTAGAGGTTGTGGCAAGGTGAGTTGGTGCAGTGTTTTCCTGTAGTGCATACATGTTACAGCTCCCTTTTCTCCTGTTTGAAAGGTGCACGTGAAGCCCAGTGGTTGAAGCACCTGCTGCTTTGAGTAATGTCAAGTCTCGCATTTTGAAGAACCCTGCCCTGCTCAAGTTAATACCGAGAATTCTATCTCTGAACTATACCTGGTGGACAGACTTTGGGCAGATTCAGGAGCTGAGCTGTTCCTCATGCACCATCCAGCTTCTCATCTGCTCATATATCCTCACTGTCCACCAGACAGTTCTAGTTATGCTCAAAATATTCATGCTTAAGAGTTTAAAACGAAGCAGATTGCTGGGCTTTTTTCAGTTTGCGATGAATGTCAAATACATGCAAATATTGTCTACCGCTTGTCTAAGTGTGATGTTGTTGATGGATGTGGTTTTTATTCTGTTATCTGAGGCTCTGTAATTGGAGTTGAACACCGCAGTCCATGTTCTGATCTTATGACGGAAGAACGGTCATTGATAAAGCAACTGAAGATGGTTATAGCTATAATAGTTCGACATAGTGTCAGGAGAATTTTCATTCTTATTCTTCTATTTTTTCTTATGTACGATGCCTTTGAGCACTTCATAAATGTTCAGTTTTCTACCCCTGGATTTCGCCTTTAGTTTATCCTGCTCAGCTTATTGCTACTGGTACAGAGGAGGGTTTGTCTCCACAAAAGTTGTGTCGTGGTTTGAGCCAGATGTGAGTTGGTAAGAATGAGATCAAACAGATTTCTTCCTTGTATTGGTTTCCCATCGCCTGCCACAGTCTTCGTCAGGCTGTATCTTATGACTTAGCCAGTCAGTTGTGGTACTACCAAGATAATGATGTACGTCTAAGTATCCCGCCCAGAAGAAATTCTGTGCTATCATCAGTGCTGCCTCCTGTTGGTGCTCAATACTGAGAAGGACCATGTTATTTGTTGATGGTGAGAGTGGTATGACTGGTGTTTAGGAGAATATTTCTTCACCTTGATACATCTGATACCACAAAACCTCAGTTTTGAGCATTCTAAGGACATTCCCCATGTTACCGTACAAAGGAATACTTTGCTTTGACTCAGGAATGTGTTTCCTTTGGATTTTACCGGCTGTGTAAAGATGATTGGATCCCATGTACTTTACAGGGATTGTAGTGTAAAATGAATGAACATGGTTTTGCCTTTCGCGTGGTGCTGGTTTTCATGGGTTCCCTCTACTCCTGACAGCTGGTGGTGATGCCATATCAGACACTGCTACACAGTTCGACCAGGCAGGCATCTGGCATCAAACTGAAGGGGCAAGTGTTGGTGATTGACGAGGCGCACAACCTGATCGATACCATCACTGGCATTCACAGCTACAAGGTGACAGGGTCACAGGTGGGTACCACGTCATCGTGGTTATTTAAAGTTGTTTATAGTATGATGTATAGCGGAATCATTTATTCTATGAAACAGACTACTCACCCCACTGTATCTGTGCTGTCTTTGGAAGTGTCATGCAAATAATTCCAATCTCCTTTGTCCTGCAAATTTTTAACATCACAATTAAGAGCAGGAATGTGCTGTGCAACGCTTTGCATTTGCTCCATGTTCAGGAAGATCATACCTAACCATCAACCTGACTTCACTTGCACAGCTAATTCCCATATTCCCTGATTCTCTTAGAGACCTAACATTGCTGATCTTCGACTTGAATACACTCAGTTGGGCATTCACAGCTGTTTGTGAAAGAATACTAAAATTTCATGACCCTCTGTGTTTAAAAAGAAATCTTCTCAGTTCTAAATGAGCTAGCATTTATCTTGAGACTCTGCTCTGTAATTTTAAGCTTTGAACCTACATACTAATAGATGAATTAGGAGCAGAAGGTAGGCCATTAACCCCTCTTCTTTGCTCTGCTATTAAATAAGAGAATGGCTGGTCTAATTACTTCACATTCCCAACCATCCTTGATGACCACCTTCCCTCCATTGTAGGCTCAGAAGTGAGCATGTTCACTGAATGTTCAGCACTGTTTGCAACTTTTCAGATATTGAAGCAGGCCGTATCTGAACGCTGCAAAACCTGAACAATTTGTAGATTTGACTTGACAAGTGGCAAATAACATTTATGCCACACAAAAGCTGGGAAAAGATCAAATCCAACATGAGTGAATCGTCCCTTGACATTCAATGATATTACCATTGTGGATTCCTCTCTCTGCCTTAAAAAGATTCAAGAATGCTGCTCCTACTACCTTTTGAGGAAAAATTCCAAAAACGTATGATCCTTTGCGAAAGAATTGCTGCTCTTGTGTTAAATAGGCAGCACCTTATTTTGGGGCAGTGACTCCCTAGTTCTCCTGAGACGAAACCTCCCTTCCCAATGTAGCGTGTCAAGACCCCTCAATTTTGCATGTTCCAGCCAAGTTGCCTCTTAATCTTCTAAAGTTCAGTTGATACAAGCTTAGCCTGTTTAACCTTTCTTAAAAATATCCTGTACATTCCAGTGTTAGTCTAGTAAACGTTCTGAATTCTTTATAATGCATTTATATCCTTCCTTTAGTAAGGAGACCAGTACTGTACACCATACTGCTTATGTGTCTAGGGGATGTAGGAAGGAGGCCATGGAGGATTTGAAAAATAAAAAAAGATAATTTTAAAGTTGAGATGTATAGCTACTGTAGGGGGCCGATAAACTACTCCCATCAGTGTTTTTTTTTGCCACTTCTTACTCTTTATCTTCACTCATTCATTCTACTTTCATATTCTCTTGAGACAGCCATTACTTGGTCCTACCATCAGTGCCTCCCATTCCACTGTTTCCATTTTGTCTGTCTTTTTGAAACATCAAGCACTCTGCAGTATGTAATTCCCAAATTTGGTTACTATAATCTCTGTGGTGGCTGTTAGACAAATCTCCATTATCTTTTTTGTGCCATCAGTCTTGTTACAAAATACTTTCAGATGCATTCTGATAAAGCACTTTTTAATGTTCATATTTTGCTCATTTTCCCTGTTTTGATCTTATTTACTGCACTGTTATTGTTAAACACTTTTTGCCTCTTCCTGTCACACTCTTTATCTTCACCAAATTTACTACACTTCTGTGGTCTTTTCCTTTAGACTTACAAATTTGTTCTCTCCTCTACATTTTTCCTTAAAGCCTTATAAGCACTATTAATTTGCTACCTGGTTTAAGTCGAGTCTATCGCAGTAGAACAACTCCATCTTCACCTGGTTAAAGTGCCAGCTCCCCACGAATAGAAGCCCCTCTCTCTGCTGCAATGCACTCAACATCCTAGTCTCTTTGACTCTTGCAATTTGTGCAGTAAAGGAAGTAGTCCAGGCATTCTTAAGGTTCTGCTCACCAATTGGGACTCAAAAACCCTCAACAGAACCTCATTTTATCCATGTCACTATTCCTATATGGACCACAATTCTGGATTGTGTCCTCCTCCCAGATCTTTGGAATTGAAATTGCTCTTCATCTTCAAGGGGTATCTTTAACTCTTGTACTGACCAGGAAACACAGTTGACCAAATTCCCAGTTCTGGCTGCACAGAGGATTATTTATATCCCTGACAACAATCCCTAATACAAACACCTTCCTGTACAGGATTAATTACTCCCCATAAGGTTATGTTATTTTTAATTACCTGTTGTGAATATTTAAATTCAATCTACCCTAGAAGTATAGAAACAGAAAATAAGAGCTGAGCAGGCCATTTGTCCCTTCGAGCCTGCTCTACAATTCAGTATGATCATGACCAATCCTCCTGCTATCTACCCAGAATCTTTGATCCCTTACATATGGCTCCTCCTAGTCATACACTTCATTTCCAGTATCTGCTGTGATGGTATTCAAACCCATGTGCCTACAGCATTATCCTGGGTCTCTGGAATATGAACACTTTGACACTGCTGCTACTTCCCTGTCTCCTGTGTTGCTGAGACTCCGTATGAGGTCCCAGTGCTGGTCAGGTTGAGATCGCTGAAATTAGAATAGGTCAGGCATTGCCCTGAGACTTGGATTTCTATCTGATTGGCTGCAGAACCGGACAATGTCTTTGCTGACTGAGCCCTTGAGGTCAACATGTTTTAACCATGAGCAGAAAGCAGCTGCCCATTCTATTTATTTCATGACGAAGCCAATTAGGGATGAAAATGCATTTATTTAGTGCCTTTTATAGAGTCATACAACATGGAAACAGTCCCTTCTGTCCAACAGTCCATACCATGTTCCCAAACTGAACTAGTCCCAATTGCCTGCGTTTGGTCCATAATCCCCCCAAACTTTTCCTATTCAGGTATTTATCCAAATGTCTTTTAGATGTTGTCACGGTAATGTTTGCACCACTTACTCTGGCAGTTCATTTCACACATGAACCACACTGTGTAAAAAAAAAAAACGTTGTCGCTCATGTCCGTTTCAAAACTAGCTCCTCTCACCTTAAAAATATGCCTGCTAATTTTGAACTCCTCCACTCTAGTGAAAAGACCTTGCTATTCAACTTATCTATGCCTGTCATGATTTTATAAACCTTAATAAGGTCACCCCTCAACCTCCTACATTCCAGTGGAAAAAAGTTTCAGCCTATCCAGCCTGTTTTTATAACTCAAACCTTCCATTCCTGGCAACATTCTGATAAATCTTTTCTGAACCCTTTCCAATTTAATAATATCCTTCCTATAACAAGGTGACCTGAACTGCCCATAGTACTCTAGAAGAGACCTCACTAATGCCCTGTACAACCTCAACAGGACTCCCTAAATCCTATACTCGAAGATCTGAGCAGTGATCCTTAACATTCTAAAACATTTCCCAGTCAGTGTTACAATCTTGTACCGTCACGGGTATGGTAAACAACTTGTGCACTGAAAAGTTTCCAAAGACAGAAACAGAAGAATTTGCTCTATTGATGTTATCTGGCAAATAAATATTGGCCATGGCAGCATGGAGTACTTGGCTGCTGTACATCAAAGTAATGCCTTGAAATCTTTTGGGATGAACTGAGGGGGCAGGCAGGACCTTGGTTTAACATCTCAATTGAAAGACAGCATTTCCAACAGTAATGCAGTGCAGTGCCACAGTTCCTCATGCGATCTGCCTTCGGAGGTGGTGGTGTGGCGATAATGCCTGGGTTTGAATTCCACCAGTGTAGATAGTGAAATCTGACTTCATTAAGATTCTAGAGTTAAAAGTTGGTCTAATGATGAACATGTTGATTGTCATAACAACCCCATCAGGTTCTTCTTTAATGTCCTCTAAGGTTTTGGAGTAGGTTTGTAGCTCGGGTTATTGATGTTGTGGTTGGTTGGCTCGCCGAGCTGGTTCATTGTTCCGCAGACGTTTCATTACCCTGCTGGGTAACATCGTCAGTGCAGTCTCCGATGAAGCGCCGTTGTGTTTTCCCGCCTGTTATTTAAACTCTGGAGTCCGTTGAGCAGGATTATCTCACTTCTGGTTTTCCTTCACAGTGGAGTGTATATAGGGTCGAGCTCTATGTGTTTGTTGATGGCTTTCTTAATGGAGTACCAGGCTTCTAGGAATTCCCATGCTTGTCTCTGCTTTGCTTGTCCCAGTATCTTGGTGTTGTCCCATTCAAGTTGGTGGTTCTCCTTATCCATGTGGATAGAGATGAGTGAGTATTGGTTGTGTCTTTTTGTAGCCAATTGACATTCATGTACCCTTGTTGTTAATTTCCTTCTTGTTTGTCTGACATAGTGTTTGTCACAGTCTCTGCAGGGAATCTTGTATATGACATTGGTCCTGTCCATAGTGGGTAGTGGGTCTTTGGTTCGGGTGAGCAGTTGTCGTAGGCTTGATGTGGGTTTGTGTGCTATTCTGATACCCAGTGGTCGTAGGAGCCTTGTGGTCAGTTCAGATGTGTTCCTGATGTAAAATAGCGTGATGAGCACATCGGGGCGTGTAGTATCTTCCTGGTGTCGTTCGTGTAATAGACATCTTCTGACCCAGTTTTTCGGGTATCCATTGTCTTTGAATACCTGGAAGAGGTATTCTTCTTCTTTTTGGCGTAGCTCTGTGCTGCTGCAGTGAGGCCTGGTACTCCATTAAGAAAGCCATCAACAAACACGTCGAGCTTGACCCCATATACACTCCACTGTGAAGGAAAACCGGAACTGAGGTAATCCTGCTCAACGGACTCCAGAGTTTAAATAACAGGCAGGAAAACACAACGGCACTTCATTGGAGTCTGCACTGATGATGTTGCCCAGCAGGGTAATGAAACGTCTGTGGAACAATGAACCAGCTCAGGGAGCCAACCAGCCACAACATCTTTAATGTTCTTTAAAGAAGTCTGCTGTCTCTATCTGGTCTGACTTAAATGTGCCTCTAGACCCACAGCAATGTGATTGATTCTTAACTACCCTTTGAATGTACTTAGTTCAAGCAATGCTGGCATCAATATCCCATGAACAAATTTTAAAAATTAGTTGGTCCACCCATGTCGATGCAACAGTCAAGAAAACACAACAAAGTCTGTACTTCCTCAGGAGACGAAAGATAATTTGGTACGTCCACAAGGACTCTTAGCAGTTTTTATTGAAAGCATTCTAGCTGAATGCATCACAGTGTGGTATGGCAACTGCTCTTCCCAAGACGGCATGAAATCACAGCCCAGTCCATCATGCAAACCAGACTTCCATTCATTGACTCCATCTATACTTCCTGTTGCCTCAGGAAAGCAACCAACATAATCAAATATCCCACCCACCCTGCTTATAGTCTCTTCCACCCTCTTAAGTCGGGTAGAAGATATAAAAGTTTGAGTACGGGTACGAATAGATTCAAGAAAAGCTTCTTCCCTGCTGTTATCAGACTTTTGAACGACCTCTCGAATATTAATACTGATCTCTCTCTCTCTCTCTCTCTCTCTCTCTGCCTCTCTTTCTCTCGTCCCTGTGGCTGTAACACTATTTTGCACTTTGTTCTGCTACCCTGATGCACTTTGTATGGTATGCCTGTATAGCATGCAGAACAATACTTTTCACAGTATTTGGTACATGTGACTACAGTAAATCAATCAATCAATAGACTCACAACTCAGGCTAACATCTGCCCAAGACCAGCACCATTCTGCTAACTCTGGAACATCTGAGTAATGTGTAGAGTTTACATTCCGCTCTCTGAGTTTACCTGTATATCGGACTGTTGATGCTAGCAGATCCTGGTCTTCTGAACAGTACGTTACCCACCAGTGAGGAACAGGGGAACACTGTCCTTTCCACACCACCAAATTCCAACTGTAAAATAAAATACCAGCACAGGTAGGGCCTTCAGGTGAATATGCAGAATTTTGAGCGCTTGTTGTACCCCATTTGTCTAATCACCATCTCCTGTTCACTCCCTATTCCCTTTTTCATTCAGTACTTTAATAATCCTTCCCTAAACAGCTATCTGATGCCCTTTGCAAAGACTTTATACTCTACCTAAGCAAAACGTTGTGTTGCAGCTTCCCATGTTTTGGCCATTCGTTATAATAGGATGTGTTCAAGAATAGAATTTGAGATTTGAGCCAGCAGGGGGAGATATTAGCCTTTTGGAACAGGCAGCAGTGATGCAGCAGTTTAAGACTGTAACCTTTTATTAAACTTTTGAGTGGGTGATTCATTAGTATCTAAGAAGAATAATATAATTAAACAATAATTAGGGCATCACAATCTCGTGCTTTATCATCTATAGATTATAGAGAATGCGGAAGTCTTTTTAATTCATGCATGGGATATGGACAGTGCTGACAAGGCTCGCATTTATTACGAAGTTGTAGACTTCCTTGCGAAGATGATAATAAACTGCTGCCTTGAACTGATATAGTCTGTGCCGTGTGTATTTTCCAAGTGAGTGTGGCATGTTGCCTGGAGGGGAACAGGCCAATGGTGATGGTCCCACATACTTGTTATCCATCTTCTTCTCAGTGGCAGAGGTCATGGATCTTGGAGGCACTATCAAAAATATTGACGGTGCAGCTTGTAAATTAAGTTTGTTTTTGTCCATTACTGGACCAAAGTTGTAATGAGGCCTGGAATTGAGTCACCCTGACAGAACCAAACTGAGAATCGTTGAGCAAGTTCCTGGTGATTAAGTGCCATTTGATCCAACCATCACTTTGCTAATGATTGAGAATAAACTTATGGGACTGTAATTAGCTGGGCTGGATTTGTTCTGTTCTTTGTGCGCCAGTTATACCTGGTCAATATTATGCATTGATGGGTAATCGCCAGTGTTGTGGCTGGATTGGATAGGGCAGTAGCTCGTCCTTGGCACATGTCTTAAGGACTATTGCCAGAATGCTGTCAGGGCCCGTGGCTTTTGGAGTATCTAGGGCCTCCCAGCTGTTTCTTGATACCTCGCAGAATGAATTGAATTGGCTGAAGACTGGCATCTGTGATGCTGGGTGCCTTAGAAAGAAGCCAAGATGGATCAACCACTCCACGTTTCTGTCTGAAGGTTGACACAAATGCTTCAACCTTGTCTTTTGCACAGCATGCTAGCTCCCACTATCATTCAGGGATTTCTCTGGTTCGTGTTTAATTGTCCACCATCATTCATGATTACATCTGCTGGGATTGCAGAGCTTAGATTTGTTATTGTGGGATTGTTAAGCTTTGTCTATCACATGCTGTTCCTACTGTTGTGTGTAACAATATCAGGTTGGCTGTCATTTTCAGATATGCCTGATGCTGCTTCTGTTACACTTCGCATTCATCAATGAATCAGTAAACTTGGGGGATATGCCAGGCTATGAGGTTACATATTGTGGTTAAATAAAATTCTGCTGCTGATGACCCACAGTGCCACATGGATGCCCATTTTTAAGCTGCTAGATTTGATCTGAACTTATTCCATTTAGTACGGTGTATACCACACAGGATGATGGAAAGTATTCTGTGTGTTTTGTGATAGTTACTGGTAGGAGAAGCAAACAGATGGACCTGCAACAGATATATCTGACAATGCCCTCAGCAGTCTGTTTTTCCCTCCTGGTTCCCTCGCCACCTGTCACAGGCCCATCTAGCAACTATGCCGTGTAGGACTTGACCAGCTCGTTCAGTAGTGTTGTGACCAAGTTATTCTTGGTGGCCTGGCGGGGGCTTCTAGGTGACCTTTTCAACATAGAGAAATGCTGATTCATCTACTGACAGGATGCTAGGTGGTAATCAGCAGGTGGCTTCCTTGCTTTTATTTGACGTGCTGTCGTGAGACTTGTGGGGTCTGATGTCAGTGCTGAGGACTCCGAGAACCACTCCCTCTCAACTGTATTACAATACGCAGCTGCTACAGTGCAGCTAGCTGTGGTGGGTCTTTCTTGCAGTAGGATAGGACATGTCCAGGAATAGGGAATGAAGTTTTGGGGAGGGTGGTTCTATGGGTAGAATGCTTGAAAGACTGCAAAGAATGAAGAGATAATGAAGATTGCAACAATCTGTGGGTTTACTATTTTTAGAATGTGAGAATGAGTTATTCTAATTTCTGGGCTTAACCACAGGGGGAAGGGAGAGCTGGAAAGTGGAGGAAAGTTCAGAGGATTGCTGATCAGCGTTCAGAAGAGCAATCTGACAGGCTTTTTACATTTACCCTAGAGGGGGAACTGGTCTTTGGGTACGTTGGACAATAAATGGCAGTACTATACTACCCTGAGAATATCGGCTTAAATGACATGCTCAGGTTTTGAGTGAGTGTAGCCTCCTGAGGTGAGAGATCCACCCCCACACCCCCAGTCGAGCTGTGACAGACACCTATTAACCAGATTCCACTTCGACCCTGTGCAGGAACTTGTAACCTATGTTTGGTGCCTGGCTGTTTTGTTTGTAAATGTCATTGAAGAGGACTTTAATAAATGTGAGTGTGGGATCTTTATTCATTAAGTTTTGTTGTGTCTTTTTGTTTTTCAGCTGTGTTGTGCTCACTCTCAACTCTCTCAGTACATAGAGCGGTACAGGTAAGGCCCTTTTACCAGTGACAGCTCTGTCTCCTCCATTATGGCCTGTGAATAGTGTGGAAGGCTGGTGACGGTCTAATATGCTGGCCTTCATTGCTCAGACCTTTTTGAGCATAGGAGTTGGGATGTCATGTTGAGGTTGTACAGGACGTTGGTAAGGCCTCTTCTGGAGTATTGTGTACAGTTTTGGTCTCCCTGTTATAGGAAGGATATTATTAAACTGGAGAGGGTTCAGAAAAGATTTGTCAGGATGTTGCCGTGATTGGAGGGTTTGAGATATAAAGTAGGCTGGGACTTCTTTTAGCGGACCACAGGAGGTTGAGGGGTGACCTTATAGAGATTTATAAAATCATGAGGGGCATAGATAAAAGTGAATGACCAGGGTCTTTTCCCTGGGGTGTGGGGAAAACTAGGGAGCATATTTTTAAGGGGGGAAGGTTTTTTTTAAAAAAGACATAAGGGGCAACTTTTTTTTGAACAGAGTGGTTTGTGTGTGGAATAAACTTCCAGAGGAAATGGTGGATGCAGGTATATTTACAATGTTTAAAAGATATTTGGGTAAGTGCATGAAAAGGAAAGGCTGGGAGGGATATAGGCCAAACACAGACAAGTGGGACTAGTTTAGTTTGAGAATATGCTCAGTGTGGACTGGTTGTACCGAAGAGTCTGTTTCCATGTTGTATGACTGTACTTACTAAATGCATAGTGATAGAGCCACCCACCCATCTTGATATTACCTGCAAATTTACCCTCAAATTTTACTTACTCACTTTTTGTTTGTTGTTTGTTGGATTTCAAGACTTTCTCAGCACTGTGGCTGACTACTAATCTTTGCCATATTGCCTGCTTTTTTATCTTTCAATTTGGTGCTATCCTTAACTTTTCTGGTTAGCTGTGGTTAGCTTATTGCCTTTCTAGAATCCTTCCTTCTCACTGCAATATATCTTTACTGTGCACCAAGAACAGTTTTCTTAAATTTCTGCAATTGTTCCTCAGCTGTCTTTGCTGCTAAACCTTTCCTAGTCCACTCCAGCTAGCTCTGCTGTTGTTCCTTTGTAATTCCCCTTACTTAGGCTTAACGCCATCGTTTCTGACCCACGTTCCTTCCTGTCAAACTGAATACTAAATTCTACCAGACAATGTTCACTCTTTCCTAGGATCTTTTACTTTGACATTATTTATTAAACTTGCTTGATTATATGCTGCCAGATCCAAAATAGCCTGATCCCTGATTGGATCCACAACATATTGTTTTAGAAGCTCTTTAGATACGTTCTCTAAATTCTTCCTCGAGGCTCCATCTGCCAATCTGACTATCCCAATGTACGTAAAGATTAAAGTCACCCATGATTAATATTACACGCCCCCACTATCTGCTAATTTATTTTCTGCCCTGCCGTACAGCTATTGTTAGGCGCTATTGACTACTCCTATAGTCTCTTACCATTTTTAGCATGGAAAGAGGATTGGTTAACTGATTTTTTTTTTAAAATGAGCTGTGATGAGGAGGGGCATTTTCAGGATGGCAACCTGTAACCACTGGGGTGACATGAATTAGTGTTATTAACAATATATTAATGACTTTGAAGAGGAAATTGAATGCAGTATCGCCAGGTTTGTAGATGACACTAAAACAGGTGGGAAGGCAAGTAGTGAGGATGACACAAGGAATCTGCAGACGTTCTATGAGTGGGTAAGATTTTGGTAGGTGGGGTATAATGTGGGAAAACGTGAGGTCATGCATTTTGGCAGGAAGAATAGAGGAGCTGAATATTATTTAAGTAGAGAAAGATTGCAGAAAACTATGGCAAAAATGGAATCTTCATGTATGAATCACAAAAAACTAATATCCAAGTTCACTGGGTAATAGGGAAGGCATATCAATTGTTGGCCTTTATTTCAAAAGAATGGAGAAAGGTTTTGATAGAGGTATACGGGGTACGATTCAGACTACAGCTGGAATATTGTGAGGAGTTTTGAACCTCTTATCTAAGGAGTGATTGGAGGTACCCACAAGAAGGTTCACTCGACCAAATCGAAGTGTAGAAAGACTGTCTTATCCAGAGAGGTTGAGTAGGTTGGGCTTGTACCAATTGTAGTTTAGAAGAATGAACTGCAACCTCATTGAAAAATACAAGATTCTTGGCAGACTTTACAAGGTATATGCAGAAAGGTTGTTTTCCCTTGTGGGACAGTCTAGGACCAGAGGGCATATCTCAGAATAAAGGGTCGTCCTTTTAAGACAGATGAAGAGGAATTTCTTCTCTCAGTGCATTGTAAATCTGGAGTTTGTTACCACAGAGGGCATTTGAGGCTGGGCCATTAAATATATTCAAGGCTGAGATGAACAGATTTTGAATCAGTAAAGTCATGGGAAAAGCCAGGAAAGTGGAGTTGAGGTTTATCAGATCAACCACAGCCTCATTGAATGACAGAGCAACTCAATGGGTTGAATGGCCTACTTCTCCTTCATTTTATGGTCACACTGAGGTTCCCATTTTGATCCTTGCTCTCTGCTGAATTAGCTGACCACCCTAATTGGCCTCTCCTTGCACAGGGAGGAGGGGACAGAAAGCAGCCAGTGTATCCAGTTTGTAGTTAACTGTCCACTGCCTTCTGTTTGTGAATGGGGTCAGTGGAGGCAGAATGGAAAGACAAGTTAGACTTGCTGGTGAAATAAGGTAGGCCACAGATGGCTCAATTTGAACAAGTGGCCACTTGTTTCACTACACGTTATCTGACTTTGTGGAATGAACCTTAGAAAGAGAGGCATAGAGTGTTTCTTTAAAACTGACTTCATAATATTTGAAAGTTTCATTTGAAGCTAATGCAGTGTTGGTGGAAGCCTCAGCCCTGAATATGACTTGCTTGCTGAGTTCATGTTTGGCCTCCAAGCTAATATCTGACCAGGGCATTGTGCAGTTTTAGCGTGAGATCTACTTTGCTGTTATGCATCAGTTCCAGCCTAATGAGTACTTTACACAGGAGTAGCATTGCTGTATCTGTGCCAGGAATGAGTGTGTTTAAACCCAACTCCAGAAACTCTTGGTAAATATAGATCAGAGCTCAAAATCTGAATTCTGAATGAATGTTCAGAATTCTTGATTCTAAGGGATATGGCTCCACAGCCCAGGGGTGTTACGGTGGCTCAGTGGTTAGCACTGCTGCCTCACAGTGCCAGGGACCCAGGTTCGATTCCACCCTCGAGCGACTGTCTGTGTGGAGTTTGCACATTTTCCCTGTATCTGTGTGGGTTTCCTCCGGGTGTTCCAGTTTCCTCCCACAGTCCAAAGATGTGCAGGCTAGGTGGCTTGGCCATGCTAAATTGCCCATGGTGTCCAGGGTTGTGTAGGTTAGGTGATTAGCCATCGGAAATGCGGGGTAATAGGGATAGGGTTGGGGGTGGGCCTGGGTGGGATACTGTTCGGAGAGGCAGTGTGGACTCAATGGGCCGAATATCATGTGGGTGTTGGATGCTTGTATTGTGACCTGACAACCTGTTCCCTTCTGCTACTTCACTTTGATTTCTAAGAGAAGAGGCTAAAAATACAAAAAT